GAGACCGTTACACCCCTGTCCTTCCCTCTCCACGCGGACATACATGCTCCTGCATCACTTTCCTGAGATGCGGCTCTGAGCATCCTTTACCCTCTGTGTTGAGAAGCGTCACACCACCTGGAGGTCAACACGGTCCTTCCAGCTCATCCCTCAGGTTCCCTGCCCCCCAAACTGCCTGTCCCTCCCCATCCCTCAGGGACGTGGAGAGAAGAGGGTGGACCCATCAGGTGAGAAATATAGCACTAACATCCCATCATAGCCCTGACACTGATAGCAAGATACTGTCCAACAATAGTTGCTATGAAGTTTGAGTGAAATGATTTCTATAAAGTACACAGCTCCCAACAAGCTGCAGACAGAAGTTCAAAGAGCAGGAAGAAGGGAATGAATTTATAAACTTGACCTCTGCCTTCACTCCTTTTTGTTTTGTATTTAAAATGAGTTTTGCTATTGTTTTTGGTCATTAAATTGTGTCCAGTTCTTTTATGACCCCATGGACTGTAGCCCACCAGGTTCCTCTGTCCATGGGATTCTCCAAGCAAGAATACTGGAGGGGGTTGCCATTTTCTTCCCCAGGGGATCTTCCCAACCCAGTGATAGAACCTGTATCTCCTGCATTGGCAGGCAGATTTTTTCTTTTTACCACTGAGCTACCAGGAAGCCCCTAAAATGAGTTTGAATAGTGAAAGTTGCCCAGTCATGTCTGATTCTTTGCAACCCCATGGACTATACAGTCCATGAAACTCTCCAGGCCAGAATACAGGAGGGGATTACCCAACCCAGGGGTCAAACCCAGGTCTACCTGCATTGCAGATGGAGTCTTTACCAGTTGAACCACCAGGGAAGCCCAAGAATACTGGAGAGGATAGCCTAACCCTTCTCCAGTGGATCTTCCTGACCCAGGAATTGAACCAGAATCTCCTGCATTGCAGGCGGATTCTTTACCAGCTGAGCTACTAGAGGTAGTGACTATTAAAAAGATCAGTCATTTTCCCCAAAATCAGAGAATTTTATTCTAAAGTAATTTTTCTATTTCAGGGGCAGAGCTTTCAATGAGGTGTGGAGCTGAGCCAGTTAATCTTGGAGGTTTGGGAGAGGGGGATGAAATCACCCCAATTACTTCCCAGGGGTTTTGCGGGTACCTGGGGAGACCCAGAGGGGCCCACCAGACTCTAGAGGGTGATGAGGATTTAATCTCCATGCCAGGAGCCTGACCCTAGAGACAGGATCAAGTCCCGTCTCTATGGGACCGGAAAAACACACCATCCAAACTCTGTTCCCATGGATAAGACAACATGCGTGCACCCTGCCCACTCCATCAGACCCAGTTCTCCCAGGCAGCAAGGGGTGGGGGAGTTTAATCTAGTACCCTCAAAAAATTAAAAATGATTAAACCTTTTAAATTATTAAGAAGTATTAAAAATTCAAACTAACTCAGAAATTAAACATCTTCATTTGTAATGAGCCTTAAATATTGAAAACCACAAACCTCTGGAGGCTGGCTTTGTTCATTCCGTACCCCGTGAACTGCCCTGCCCACCATGTGGACACCTACCCGCGCAAGCAGAAATAGAGAGGGACAGCTGCTTTACTCGGGACCCAGATACCTAAAGGAGCAGGAGGGTCGGGAGGGCAGAGGGGCGGCTGCCAAGCAACACACCACCCAGCTGCGCCCTGTTCACACGTGGCCACGTGATGTATGCTGTTGACGAAAGCAAGCCGGGGAGCATCCTTGTCATCCCCTGGCAAGAGGCAGCTTGCTAACCATAGGCCTCACTTGAGCACAGAGAGAATGCATCAAATCTCCAGGAAGTCTGCGAGCAGCATCCTTCATTAATCACCCTGGGCTGTCAGGCTGGGAAGAATGTTAACACAGGAGCCTTTTCAGAGCGCTTGTCAGCTGCCGGTGTTGAGACGTGGTCCACCGCACTCCAGCCAGACATGACCCTGGAGTCCAGGACGCCTCCCCAGACTCCCCCTTGCAGCCTCCCTCCCCCACACCCCTCCCCCCAGGCTTTTGGGCTCAGCTGGAATAACAACATCATTCCTGCCTGGCTGCCGCTTCCTCTGCTAATTCATCTGGCTTGCATTGACGCACAGAGGACCCTGGGGTGCACAGTCCCAGAGGATGTGACATATGAATGAGCACCGTGGCTTTGGGGCCCCACCAAGAGGAGTCAGCAGATAAACCACTTGCAGACGGCTTTACAATAGGGAGGAAGCTTCTGGAGGCAGGGAGCCCAGTGGGCTAAGTTGTTGCCTTGGCTGGTGAATAATAAGGCCAATCCTGCCACTGCTCATGGCTTTCCACGTCACTTTAGACACGTGACTTCTCAGTTTTAGCTGCATCTGCAAGGGAGGGAAAACCCACAGGCCAGAGCTGAGCCCTGCTCGGGGCCTGAACGGGTGTTTTGCCGTTCAGATATGCTCTTTTTAGCATGCCAAGACCTCAGTCCGGCCTCCAAGAATCTGAAACCTGCAACCACAAACTGGACATTATTTCCAATGGGCTTTCAGACGTTGATGGTCTTTGAGTCTAAAAACTGGGTGGGTGAGGGCTTCCCTGGCGGCTCAGTGGGAAAGAATCGCCTGCCAATTCAGGAGACACAGGTTCGATCCTTAATCTGAGAAGACCCCACATGCCACAGAGCAGCTAAGCCCATACACCACAACTTCTGAGACTGTGCTCTAGAGCCGGAAGCCACCACCACCGAAGTCCCCGCGCCCTAGAGCCAGCGCTCTGCAACAAGAGAAGCTGCTGCAAGGAAAAGGCTGGGCCCGGCGACTCCAGTGTACCCCCGCTGGCCGCAACTAGAGGAACGCTCGCTTAGCAACAAAGATCCAGCACAGCCAAAAACGAAATAAGTAAATAAATAAAATTTTAAAAATAAAATAAAAATGGGGATGAGGCCAAGATTAGACGGAAAATGAAGTCTCAACTTAAAACCTGAAGTTCCTCTTCCAGTCCCAGGAAGAGGGTGCCTCGTCCCCAAAATCCCAGGATCAGGACCGCGTCCCGCCTGTGCTCATAAGCTGCCTTCTGTCCATGGCCTGCCACGCCCACATCAAACCGTCTGTACAGTCACAGAAATATATCATTTCCGCTACACACGTCAGGAGTTGCGACTCTGGGGAGCCTTTTGTGGCGTTAATCAAAGACCAAGATGTCAGGGAGGAGGCCATGTGTGGAAAGTGTCAAGAGAGAGCTCTCAGGCCCCAGATAAATGACCTGTTCCTTCCCGGCTGATTTACTGTGAATTTCTGCAGGATCTCAGGCAACTTGAAAGAGAGCCAAGAGCGAACCACACGGCGCCCCAGGGCGGTGCGCAGTCCTTCCAAAGCATGACTGGCCAGCGCCTGCAGGCAAGGGCCAGGGGAGGTGGCAGGGATCTTGGGGGCTTGGGGGTGTCCCACAGGCTGGCGGCAATTCCTTTGATCTCAGCAGGACGGGATGAGCCATGGAACCCTGTGGACCACACATTTCCTCCATGAACTTGGGACAGTGGTAGTGACCCAACAGAATCGTTTGGGGTTGAACCTTGTGAGAAGAGGCAACAGGCTGAGCTGGAAGTGGGACTCGCGGGCTGCGGTCTCCTGGAGACTACAATCTCCCGGCTTAACTCTTCTGTGCCCGGTGTTCCAGCCACCACCAACGAGACCTCATAAATATTTACACCCGGCGTGCGTTGCGATGCTCAATTAATTGCTCCTGTGACGCACTTTGAGAGCCTTGGAGGATAGGTACCATGCAAGGACCAGGGGTTATTAAAGGCACAAACAGCTAAGCTCACAGCAGACTCATCCTTCAGAGCTTTCATTTCCCCAGGGCTTTTCAGATCATTGCCCGAAATCTAGGGAGAAGGAGCTTCCAAAAGCATACTGTCCAAGGGGGAATGTGGCGGCCAGGAGAAGACCTCATTGGTCTTCCCAGATAACTTCACCACTGAAGACACGCAAAGGCCTGAAACTATTTGGAAAAAAATAAATAACAATTCATTCTCACTAGTCATCAAGGAAGTGAAACAGATAAAAAGAATCAAGTAGCAAGTAGGAGAAGTTGTTTTAAATGGTTTTAAATGATCGTGGATTTAACAGTGGTAAGATGTGATGAGATGATCACCCCTCACTCTCTAAACAAGAATATAGATTGAAAGATTGATGCAAACCATCCAGAAGGCACATGAGTGATATGAAACAAGGGGCTAAGAAGACCCACATTATCATTGTCAGACACTTGCACTACACTTGATGGAGTCTCTCCAAGGAAATACTCGGTGATCGGATTCAAAATGCAATCAGGGATCCACAACGCCACATGATTTACAGTTGCAAAAGGGAGCAAGAACCTAATTTCCCCCTCCAGAAATCACACAGCAGATAAATATGTTTCTGAGTAACAGTTAAAGATCTACAATGCAGTTTTCATTGGAGTACAACTGCTCTACAATGTCGTGTTTCTTTCTTCTGTACAATGAAGGGTCCTCCCTCCCAGCTCCCTCATCCCTCTCCTCCAGGTCATCACAGAGGACTGAGTCTGAGCTTCCTGTGCTTCACAGCAGGTTCACACTAGCTATATACTTCACCCATGGTAGTGTGTATATGTCAGTCCTAATCTCCCAATTCATCCCTCCCTCCCCTTCCTCCAGCACGGGTTCACACATCTTTTCTCTATATCTGCGGGAGCCTATATATTCTTTCATATTATTTTTAGGCATCTATGTATCAAAATGCATGCAGATATCCTCATACACACATGCACACATATGCCTGAGCCTTGCTGAAATATTACCTGTGGTGTTGACTATTTTTTTCTAGACGCATTTCTCTATTTTCTAAATTCTCTGTAGTGAGATGTTCCTTTGGGTCTAGAACAGCATAAGCACAAAGGAAGTGCTCTATAACTGGATTTGTGACCTGTCTTCGATGACTGCCTGCTCCTCTGGGGAGGACAATGAATTGAATGCAGCAGATACTTACCTTGGTTCTCTTTTCCATCCTAGGTCATGGCCCAGAAACAACAGTGCCACAGGTAAGTCAGGGCCCCCCAGGCACCTAAGTAGTGGGAATGTCAGCAGGAGTCTGTTATTCCTCCTTCCATCCTTTTCCATTTCTCCTTGAAGAAAACTATTGGCCTGATCAAGGTGACTTTAGTGACTTAGAGTCTTTCCCTCTGATTGCTCCCAGGCTGGAAGTCTATAAAAAAAAAAAAAGAAAGAAAATGAGAAATTGACCAGAAGGAGTGTGCAAAGAAGCAATAGAGGCTTTGGGAGTGATGTCATCACAAATGAATTCACAGGATTCACTGTATTATATTATACATAATGAATTATATTATATTATATATAATGAATTATTCTTTATATTATATGTAACGTGTTATGTTCATATAACATACGTTGGAGAGTATAACCAGCACCCAGTGTGCCCCACACAGCAGCGAGAAGGAGGAAAAAGCAAAATCAACTTTGCAAGCATGAATGTAAATGAGGAACGAACGAGCACTGGGTCTAATGCTTCTTACAGAAGCTGCTCAATCAGGTCCTAAGAGAGTCTGCATGGACTCAAGGCGTGCGTAAACTCAGTCGCTCAGTTGGGCCCGACTCTGCAGCCGTGTGGACTGTGGCCTGCCAGGCTCCTCCGTCCATGGGATTCTCCAGGCACGAATACTGGAGTGGGTTGCCATTTCCTTCTCCAGTTCTCTCAAGGCTGTTGTTCCTAAATGGTACTAAGTCTCTGTTGTCAAGTATATTCTCCCCACATGCTTGCCACCTCTGAACACCTTCTACCACCCACTTAGACTTTGGAGGGCAGGGGCGGAGGGGCTGTAGAAAATTCTAAAGGGGATGGTGCTTCAAATGAGGTTGCTGATCTGATTCGGTGGCCGGCGAATGCTAAGTGTGACCTGTATTCTCTCCTCTGGGACTTGTTCTCCGCCTGCCTTAAGGGAGAGGAAAGCTGACAAATGGGATTTCATTTCATTAACAGCATTCTAGAGACACAAGCAAGGGAAAGAAAACAAATCAACTCCCCCCCCAAAAGTTGATAGAGATGAAGCTGCCCAGACTTGCCCAGAGCACTTGATTCTACACCCTAACAAAAATAGTTAGTGAACCATACTACCCCAGCCTCTGCAAGCTTACACACCGTGGCCAGTGTCTACTGAGCTAGAATAAAGCTGATATAACCAAAGACGCACGTGATGATTTATATGAAAGACAGTTCATCACCATGATATTTATAACATTCCCAGGTACTTTAAAGGTGCTTGCAATTTTTTATCATGCGACTCATTGAAAATATGGTGAAAATATGGTTGAAATTAAAAGAGTGTCTGTATGAAAGAATACTACATAGACATTAAAAATGATCTTGAAGCCGCCATTGAGGGGTATATTATAGCAAGGTATTATATGAAAGGGCAGGCAAGAAAACATGCACACACATTTTGATCATATGGACATAGTTTATATCATGTCTGTATATATGTGCTTGTGTGTGTGTTAGTGATTTTGCTCTAATTAAATATTTATAGTGGCTATCTCTCATTTGGGAAAAAATCTGCCTGCAATGCAGGAGACCTGGGTTTGATCCCTGGGTCAGGAAGATCCCCTGGAGAAGGAACTGGCAACCCACTCCAGTGTTCTTGCCTGGAAAATCTCATGGACAGAGGAGTCTGGTGGGCTACAGTCCATGGGGCCACAATGGGGTCACACAACTTAGCAACTAAACCACTATATCTTGGTATGGGAACACTATTGTGACTTTACTTCTCTTTTTTGTTCATCTGTATCTTATGATTTTCCTACAGCAGCATATTTTTTATGCTCAAAACAATCTATCAAAAAAAAAAAATCTCTAGGCCTAGGAGAAGACAGACACATATCCAAACTTGGACAATCCGTCAATACCAACATCTTTTGTGATGTTGATAAATAGAAAACAGTGTCAAGTTTTTCCACAAAATAAACTCAGGAGATTGTCTCCTTCCACTGAATAAAGATTGATATTGGAGAGGACAGCCCATTTAGAAAGTGCGTCCTTCTGTCTTAAGTCACCACACACCATAAAAACTCTGAAAGATATTTGTTGATTGACTCAACCAAGACAACAAATCTCATTTTGCACAGGAATCCTTGTTTTGTTTTGTTTTGTTTTTTCTAAGGAAAATAAATCTTAAAGGTTTTTTGTTTTGTTTTGTTTTTTTACCCTCACTTCTAAAAGAAAAAATAATAACAAATTTTAAGACTTGGCGGGGAGGGAAGTGGTAGGTAAGGAATATGTGAGCATCCACTGCCGCCTGCTGGCCATTTCTAGGTAGTGCAATATCTGTATTAATACAGCAGAGGCTCGTTCTCCCCGAAATGCTGGGGAAGTCGGTGAACAGGAACAAATTGAAATGTTAACAACTGAACTGTAGGAAAAAGCTCTCCACCCAGTTTTCATAAGCACAAGCTAGGATTCCAATCATCCAAAGCTGATAAGCCCACGGATTTACAACTGCCTTCAAAATCCAGTGTGTATCAGAATCTCAGCTGCGAAAAACGCTTATCACAAGCCCAGGCCGTGGTTTGTTCTTTGGCAGAGCTATAGTGAGGCCAGAAGGATAATTCTAATTCAGGTAGTGCTAGGATAGTCTTTTGAGAATCACTGGCTGAAGAAAAATGTATAGACAGGTGGATAGAATGTACCAAGTCAGCCTGAACCAAGAGGCAGCTTGCCTGTTTAACTATCACCATTCACTCATCCATCATTCATTCATCCATCATTCATCCATCATTCATTCATTCATCCATCTATCCATTCATTCAACCAACTGAGGTAGTTTCTTAATATGTCAGCTACTCTAACCAGCTTCGACCACGAGTTTTTGTTTGTTTGTTGTAATTGATAATGATTCTACTTAATGCACTTATCAAAGCACATGTAACATCAGTACACTAAAATACTCTAAAAAATACAAAATGCCATCACAATTCAATGAGAAGCCTTGACCACAAGTTTTTGAAAAGGGAAATATAAATGAAAGTTTCCCAGGACTCAGCTAGTCTGAGATGCTCACACCATACTTTACAGATTAGGAAACTAAGGACTAGAAAAGGGAAGCGAATTTCCAAGAGCTGTCTGGCGAGAACCTTGAACTTGTTCTCCCAGCTCCCAATAAATGTTTCGCATATAGCTATGTCTGCAAGTTTAGACTATTTGTGACTTGAAATTCACAGTTCATAATCTTCAGACCAGGAGACTATGATTCAGTGAATAAAACTGAAAATTATTCACTGAAAACTGAAATCTAGCCAGAAATGCTAGATGACTGAGCAGGTAGGTAGATTGATAGATAATTAATAAATGGATAGATAGAGATTTAATGTGTATTAGATATATAACATACATAAACTTGTTGTTCAGTTCCTAAGATGTGTCCAGCTCTTTGAGACCCCATGGAAGGCAGGACACCAGGCTTCCCTGTCCTTCACTATCTCCTGAAGTTTGCTGAATTTCATTTCCATTGAGTCAGAGGTGTTATCTATCCATCTCATCCTCATGCATAAATTACCTATGTCTATATATTCTATTTCTGTTCTTTCTTTCCCTTCCTGCTCCCCTCCTTTCTTCCTTCTTCCCTCTCCTCTTGACTATATAAGTCATATAGTCAAGATTTATTCAACATCATAATCCTTGACTCAGACACAGTGAAAGTAACTCTAGGAAGTCCCTTCCTGCCTTTCCCTACGGCCATGGATGGATGCCAAACAGATGATGTTCTAAAGTTTGGGACCAGCCAGGGTGCAGAGTGTAAACTACCCCCCTCTTCACAGACCGAGAGGAAGAGCAGGCTGATGCCTTCCATCCCCAAATACCTTCAAGTTTTTAAAGGATAAAAATGGAGAAAGGCAGCCTCATGTGGGAGAAAGAACCTGGGCTGTGAGTGTGGAGCTCAGAATTCGAACACCAGTTCTCTCATGACACCAGTGAGTCCTGAGAAAGACAGAAAATGAAAAGAAGTTAACCTATCAGGTGGGGTGCCTAGTATGTGCCAGGCCTTTTATTAACTTGTCTAATTTAGCTGTAGGGTACACATTTTATTCTCCTCAATGTATAATTAGCTAAACAGGGCCCAAGCAAAATTAGGGAACTTGTAGAGACACCAATAGCATAGAACTCAGCTTCATCACAGCACACGTGTTAAGCCCCAAACAGTATCAGCCTTGGCTGCTCAGTCATTGACTCCCAACCTCATGGCTAGAAGGGAGCTCTGCTCGAAGAATCCTTCGGAATAACTGACAGGTGCTTGTAGATAGTTGAATGCTGGAAAGGCACATATTTTGTCTGGAAATGGGCACTAACTAATGAACAAATTCCAAATATAGATCTGAAGGTCTAAAGATCTTGGCTGAGTGAAAAAAGATTTGGCCTTGAAGTTGACCTTGAAAAGACATGTAGCACAGAACACAGCAATTCCTTAGGAGGGCACTGAGCCAGGGAGTTATTCATTTAAACTTCTCAACAGTTATTTGGGGTAGATACTCTTATTCCTGGGCTTCCCAGGTGGCGCTAGTGACAAAGAACCCTCCGACCAATGCAAGAGATGGAAGAGACTCAGGTGTGACTTCTGGGTTAGGAGATCCCCTGGAGGAGGGCATGGCTACCCACTCCAGTACTCTTGCTATGGACAGAGGAGCCTGGTGGGCTACGGTCCATAGGGTCACTATGAGTCCAACACGACTGAACGGCGCACACTCTTATTCCTACCAGGCTTACAAGCTTGCCTGAGGTCACATGGCCAAGATTGGAACCTAGAACTTCTCATTCAGCTTCTGGGAAATGTGGGCCCGTGCCTTTGATCAGAGGCTCTGCTGTGTTTGTTAATGGAGAACACCACAGCTGAGAACAACATTTAAGGCAGCAAGACACTTTGAAAAAGAAATCGTGGAGCTTAGACATGACAAATGTTTATTTTCTACCTAAGTCAAGTCCAGAGCTAAACAGTTCAAGGCCGTTCAGCAGCTCTGTTCCCTGAAGTTCTCGGAA